ATTACGTACTGTTGTCAATCTCATCACTTTGTATTCGTCAGGACATTTTACAGGCGAGTGAGTCCAGAACACATGTTACTTTGGCTTATATTTGGAGTTAGTATAAAGCAAGAAAAGAAACAGAGGTTTCCACTGTTGCTGAAGCGTTCCAAGAGGGGAAACTGGGTTGTTATTTAGAGGCCCCCGAAAAAAGGGGGCGGTGGGGATAAGTGGGAAAAGTAGATGGATATGGTTGGGTATGGATCTTACTCTCCCAGCCTTAATTTGTTCCGACCCCAATGCCCCATCCCAATTTTAACATTTTTATTGTCTATTTTTCCTGTCTAAAAATTGAAAATCCATTGTCGATTTGACAGAAATGGTTAATGTGTGAATTACTAATAATCTGCATAGACTGCAGAAAGATACAGAGCAAATACGTTTCCCAAAGAAAAGAATTGACTGTACCCTGAGGAACCTGGACAACATGTGCTACCCTAAAGGTGTGTTTTAGAAACGGTCTGTTTCTTTGTTCGTTTGATTGTTTTTAATTTCTTTCACAAATTCAAGTTTGAGGGGGGAGGAATACGAATATGGAGAGCTTATGCTATTGGGCAGGGTAGGCTGATTCCTTACCAAGATTTCATCGTTAAGCCTCAGGGTCCTACAGGACTTGTTGTAAATGAGAACTTCTTCCCGCTCAAGGCGGCTCGGCTCCATAAGACAATAACAAATAGTGATTGTGAAAAATCGAATGGTCTTTTCCCTTGCTCTGAGCCAGGCTGAAACATGGTTTTTTAAAAAATGCAGTGAACTAGAGAGTCACCTTGATATTGGCGAGCACTGCCACATTCGCTGAAATTTTTATACAGCTTATGATAGACTTAAAAGAGATTGGGTGGAGAAATTCCTCAGTGTTGACAAAGAGGATATTGACAGAGCTCACTTAGAATCTACTGGCGAACAACAGCACGAGCACGGAGCAAGTAGTTCTAGCAGTGACCTGCAGCTTGGTTGGGCACTGCATAAGCCAAGAAGTGGAGCCGTACGTTTCACTTGTGAAGTTAAGCTGTATCTGTCTACGAAATCTGATCTGGCAGAGAGAACTGACATGAAGGCAGATCCCGGAAAAGTGGCAGCATACATGAGAATGATAAGAAACCCAGATAGCTCCCGCATGTTTGAAAGGAAGGACTGGCAAACTTCACTTAAGATTGGCGGCTGCAAGAAGGAGACAGGCAAGCCAAGAAGTCGAGACGTGGTAAAGTACTAATAAAATCGGCTTTATGAATTGGTCACTCGCGTTTTCCTGCCCTTCAGACAGTTTGATTGTTTTTACTGTGCGTTCTTACTGACTCTTTCGATATCCTCCTTTTCTCTGATTGGACGTTGTGATTGCTTTGCTTTATTTTTTGCGTCAATGAAACCAAATTTTCTCTTCTAACCCCCCAAAAAATACCTCCAAAGCCATTGCAATACCCCATGTGCTAAAACAAAGGCGCTTTTTTAAGGAAATGAGACACTTACATCAAGCGTCTCTGTTGTGTTCTAGATGATATGGAATACTTTGCTTCTTTGCATGCTGATTTAATTTCGACATCTCTGTTCCATATTCCCTGCCGCTCCTGATAGAAAAACTCCATAACCAAATGGTCTGTCCAGAATCTCTTTGAAAAAGATTTTGTCGTTGAACAGATCGTCTTTGTGCTCCGCTGCAATGTAAGTGTCTAAAAGAACACCTTCAACTTTTCCATCCTTCAGCGTTGAACAGAGGTCCTCAAAGTTGGTATAATTCTTATCTGTGATTCAGTTATAAGTAAGTTGAGACCTATAATTTTGAAAAAAGTTTTCTAACGGCTTAACTAATCAACACGTATTTCAAATCGTGCTTTTTTGCTGCAAGGTTACTCCTCCAAGTGAGTTTGCTTAGATTTCAATCTAAAAATAACCAGCCGCGTAAGCTTGCATCGCAAAGATCAATGTGTTTGATATTGATGATATCAATTGGATTGTTTGCTATGACGTCCACAATAACAAAGCCGGAAAAGAAATGAACAGTCGACAGTGAATGATATGAAGCTAAAAATTATCCTTGTCGTGTCAGCTTTTCAATTTTTTGACACCTCCCCTTACTTATTAAAAAAACGGGCCTGTCCAATTTTGGACGAGGGGACCTGTCTAGCAAAACAAAACATTTTTTATTTTCCACGTTTATGTATATAGAAAAACACGCAGACTACATGCAGATCAATTATTTCCCTTTGGTTAAAGAAAAAAACAAGAAGTTAACAAAGGAAAAAGGAAACTTAAATATTACCTTCGTTTACTCTTGCGTTTTTCAATGATGATTATTTAATTGATGTCTTTTATCTGGTCCGTTTGATATGTTTCTTCTTCTAGTCCGCGTTCTTTATCTACTAATACTTAGTTGTCCTCTTTGGCATTTTGTCTACAATTGAACCTGCATTAAATTGTCAACCACGGGAAATAGCGGGGTGACCGCTTACTACCGTTTGACCGCTTAATACAGATATTTATTCCGTATATGACCTCTTATCGTACAAAAACTTGGTCACGATACTACTACATTGATTTCAGGAGATAAGAATGGATAACTTTAAGAGATCACTCTTAGTTTTATTTGAGTGGTTCCCCTTTATGTGACCGTTCAATACAGATAAGAACAAAACAAAAAGGCTGTTAAGACTCTCAGTAAAGGATGACCGCCACCGCTGACTAGAGGTGAAAGTTATACTAATGATGGGGTAAAAATTGCGGGACTTTGAAGACCGACCGCTAAATGTATGGTGCCGCTTCACACAGGTTCGACTGTGATTTGTGTCAAAGGTACACGAGCCACTCGATCCGATGAGCTACCCAAGTTCGAATTTATGTATTTTCTTTAACCAGAGCTCGAGAATTCAGCAATACTTGAGAGCTACATTGTTTTGCTTCTTGATCTTGTACAATTTGAACCCTTTCAGTTCTTCTATCGACAGACAATCCTTGTATACCAAATCCTTGTGAGAATTATGGCAATTGCTCAAGGACAGTTGACCCAGAAGGATTCAACTGCAGCTGTACCTCGGAGTACACTGGTAATACATGTGGCAATAAAATAGGTAAGACATCGTCTCCAGTGATACCTAGACTTGCTTACATGCATAGCCGGGGTGCAGGGGCATAGTCGCCTGATCTCCGTTTAAACCCTTTAATTCCGTCATTTGACATTTCACTTGGATTTCCTATTCTGGAGCTTACATTCTCATAAATATCGTAACGGTTATTTCAGCCCTTAGACTTAGACTTAAGCGGGGTTGATCTTTTTTCAGCGCGTGAAGTACCTTGAGTTCGTACAATAACGCTATTGTGATGTCTCTCTTTGCAACGTGTCGTTATGTCGATTGATTTTCCAAATCTTTAACAGCTCCCCTGACTGTAGGTATGTGTCAGTGTATCTGCGTAAAAGGTACCTTCGATAGGTAGGTTCCATGGTGTGGAATGTATCAGGAAATAATACAATTTATTTTTTCTTAGATCTCGTAAACTAAGGCTGTTTTCCCGGGCTGCTCTTGTGTCAACAGGTGTTGTTGTGGTGGTGTAACACCGTAATTTTCAAGTCAAAGCACCTTAATTTCCTGCTATTTCATTGCATTTTCTGTTCCCATTTAGGGGTTATTTTCTAAATAATTTCTCGCCTCTCGCACAAATACTCATACTCATACTTGGTGATTCTATGGTTTAATTAATCTAGTTCACGGCAACTGGAGCGCTTGGACTCAATGGCCCAACTGTAACAGGCCCTATAATGGTGGAAACAAAACAAGAAAACGTCAGTGTGACAATCCTAAACCAGCTTTTGGTGGAAGATACTGTATTGGTCAAGCAACTGAGATGCAGTTTTGTAATATGGACAGCTGTCCAGGTAAGTTAATTAGTGATTAATATAAGGTTAATAGTCAGTAATCAATAATTAATTAATCGTTTATTTATTTATCGTCTTCAGCTGACGAGGTAAACTTCGAAGTGCGACTTAAGGCTGAAACCTGGAGTGATGAACTTGCGAACCCTGAAAGTGAGCTGTACAAGAGATTCAAGGATGAAATTGAATCTACCGTGAGTTCTACAATTCTTGAACTTTATTTAGTATAGTACAAGCTGTCATAAAGTGTTATTCTATTGTTTACAGGTTAAAATGAGTTCATGCATATTGATCTAAAAGTTTCATCCACTTTGTGAAGCCTAGTTTAACGCAGTAAATTAAGCACTGAATGATAACACACTAAGAGTAGTTATGGCAATGTAAAAGCAAGAATCACCTCTTAAAAAATAATAAGCAGCTCGGCAGAAAGGTATGATCCCAATTGCGAACTTTCCTTTTCATAACATAATTTGGTTTTATCAATTGATATGGAAATTGGTCATTGCAATGATTTTCTATAGCTGACGTTGTAAGCGTTAGCTCTCCCTTTAGAGCAAAGGACGTTTAGGAACTCTCTATTTCGACTAATTTACATTACCAACTTATTCGATAAAACCAAATTATTATGTCTCCCCCCTCCCTTCTTTCCCCAGCTGATGCACGCAGCACCACAGTTTCTCTAAAAATGTAACCCATTTTTCCCTTTTAATAGTCAAATAATAGCCTGGGATGTAGTCGTACACTTTAACTAAGAAACACCTTATATACAGCTCAAGAAGAAATAAATTTTGATATACAACACAAATGTATTACTCGATGCCGTTTAATTTTGTTTCGTCACATACCAAGTTTTTTCCGACGGACTTTAAGTCTGAACCTTTTTGTTTAGCATGATTATTAAAACAAAAAGGAGACTACTGTCCATTAGTTTTCATTTGAACGGTCTCACTCAGTCTAAGGTTTCATCCATAACCGAATTGAAATAACCTTGGGAATCGTGATAAATAGTTCCGTGTGGAGTAAAGGAGTATACTACTTATTAACTGTAGAAGCGGTTATCATCCCTAAACTTCTACTTCGTTCGATTCAGGTCACGGGGTTTTATTTGGAAAAAGGCGAAACCATAACATTCAAGCTTTTGAGTTTGAGGTATTTCTTCCTAGTTTTATTTGTATGAGGACTAATTAAAAATTTGGATGAGATCTTTTGTTTTGAGAAAATGAAACTAGATGTGGAGGTTAAATCTGCCCCTTAAGAATGCTCATATGATAGGCGAGGCTATCACCAGCAGCTTTGTTCTTTTGCTGGTTTGTTGGATTCATCTCTAAACGGATGGTCTTATCCACTCTTCGAACAAAGACGCATTCATGCATCTCAACATCTCCTTCGTTTTATTACAGATAATACTCGCGGTACAGTTTCGAGAGCAGTGATCCGGGAGTTCAATTTAGTCCACTCTGTTGCGTTGTATGCTTGTCCAGGAAAACTAACATCAACCTCTTAAACAATCACATGTAGAAATAAATTCAATCGCGATTTGGTGGCTAGCATTTGTCTGTGCTTGAGGCCAGCACTTACACAGTCATTTAATACCTTGAATTCTCTTTCGCCTTATGCGTTTCTTAATTCCTTTTCCGTTTGTGGTCAGCGCGCCAAAGCTCATTCATATTAGTGCTAGATGATTCACTTATATGGAGATCGGTAGTATAAATCGCCGATGTAAATCTGAAGCCAATTATTCCTACGCTGTATTCATTGCCTTCGATACTTGCAGTTTTCTCCATTTTTTTTTTAATTTTAGACAAGGAAGCATTATTGCAAGTTTTAACATCACCTACCCAGCAATCGACTCGCTTCAAATTGTCATTTTGCAAGAACAAATCACCGCAGGAACTCTGGGTAATTTTCCAGCAGAATTGCTCAACATTACCAGCAGTTATGGTGAGAGGACCTAAGGAATAGATAACTTCATCTCATTGTTTATAGTAACTGCTTTGCATTAAGCACTATCTGGGAATCTTTAGAGTATAACTGATTTACTTCCTTCTGAACCAGTGCCGCAAACTGCATGCTAAGCGAGTGCGGGTTTCGCATTTCGTTAAGGTTATGTCATAGTTGTCTTATAAGAAGATTCTTACAAGATGAGGTTGATGGAAGAACTTCCTTGGCCATCTACATTCCTTTGTTTTCATATTCTGTTGAGCACGACTAAAACCACAACGATAGCATAGTCTCTGAACTGGATTTAAAAAAATATTAAAAATATGAGATTTACAAATTTTTCCATGCTTAGTGCGTGTATGTCGAGTTATGGATGCACGCGGGAAGTTTTGAGACGCAGCTGAGAGCTCTGGAGTGCTCTTTAAAGTTCCCAAGTGCATTCATAACACGAAGGATATACGCACAGCTTAAGCATGAACCAATTCTTCTATAACGTAGCATGCAGACGCAAGCTGTCCTAAATAAAAAAGAAACAAAACAAAAACAAAAAACAAAACAAAACAAAAAAAGAACGAAAAAGGGCTTACTACAATTTTGTCGGTTTCACCAGGTAATCTTGTTCTAACTTGACGGAAACTTTCAATCGAGGTGAAATTGCACACGTCATGTGATGAATACACTTCCCTGCGGTTTAAATATATGTTATTTGCCGGCTGGCAGGTCCGTATGGTGAAAAACACAAGGGGATTTAATACGGCCTTTTCTCAAAAAATTCCTTCAGCTTCTGTTGTGCAATTTACGATTTAACGGACTTGAAAAGACTCACCGAGAGCGTATATTTGATGTAGAACTTAAATGAAAACTTCGCTTGCTCTTTCACTGCGAACAAATTGCTTGAGAAAATTCAGGTATTAATGAACGAAAGTTCCATCGTTCAGTTTAACTGTAACCAAATACCTCACGTTTTGCTTTTCTAGGTACTCTTTGTGAACGATTAAAATTAATTGCAGACGGGTTTTAGGCCGCTTGTCAACCAACGTAATGACACTATTGTTTATACAAATTCATTCTGAAACCAATATTTTTCTGTCAACCAAACTGATTTGAGTGAGAGAAAAGAGAGTATTCATAAGTTATTCTTCGGTTTGAGGTAGTGACCGACGTGTTTGCTTAAAAATACTGCCCAGCCGGGAAAACGAGATATAATTATGAAAAATGGCAACGAAAGTTGGAATGTACTTGGTGACTCACGAAAGCGTTATTGTAGCCCGTGGGCAGAGATAGGAAAACACTGACCGGGTAAAGAACCAATCAGATTGCAAGATTCGTTACCGTGCGCACTCAAAAAAAAAATAAGGATTTTTAACATGATAATCCCTGATAAAATATGGAGGACTTGCGCGCGCAATGTTATGAAAATGATTAACAGTTATGTGTCCTTAATTTGACAGCACTTACAAATCTTATATTGCTTAATGAGACAAAAATCATGGTGGTGTTCTCGATGTTTTGTCTCTAAATTTAGATTATCAATGGTTGAATTTTCCAATGGTTTTGTCTCTAGGACCATTAGCATTGAAATTATGGCATCTTGTGTATGGTCAAGATTGTTGAACCCTGATCTCATGGTGGACAAAACTTAAAAAGAAAGCAAAAGGCAGTTGTATACGAAGCAACAAATGACAATAACGTACTTCAAAACTGTTGTCATTAACATAAAATTTGTCTTCATTTTGTCTTTAGTGCCAAATGAAGCTCCAGTTATTTTGGAGTTAAACAGTCCCACCTCAACAACAATTCATTTAAAATGGTCGGAGGTCACACAATTGAATTCAGTTCCACTTCTTGGTTACGTTATTATATTCAAGGAAAACATCACCAGGTTTCAACCCGACATCCAAAAATCTGTGCCACCCTCGCCGCAGAAGACGGTGTTGGAGGATTTGAAAAAGTTCACACATTACACCATTAGAGTGTATGCTTTTACGAGGAATGGAAACGGAATACCGAGTAAGGCACTGACTTTGAGGACTGAGGAGGATGGTAAGTATATAATGCGCACGTGAAAGAGACCAATTAGTTTCAATGAGAGGTCGATGAAGGTGGTTAATATGCCCCATCGAGTTTTAAAAGGCCGACGATTTGAACGATAGCTCCTCTTCAGAGGAAATCTCACTCTCAAAGCAACACCTTATGCGGAATATCTGCCTGTATAAATTAGTTCATAGTTAAAGTTATTTAAGTGTTTTTACCTAAAAATGAATTCCACTCAGGAAAGCCGATAAAAATGGCAACGGCCAATTAGATCAATAGTTAATACCGAAAGAGGTATTAAAGGGTGAACTAAAACAATGAACAAAGAAATTGCCTGTGAGCAGGTCGCGAGTCCCGTAGCCGATAGGTGCAGGGACATGCGTAGGATTTGGCGACCAGTCGCAAACCAAAGCGAACGAAAACCTAATCTATCCTCGACTTCTTTTCATATGAAACTGCAATCATCCGTTTCAAACTTGGCCTTTTTGGTCATCAGTTCCGAGTGAACCCCCACCAAACACTGTTATCACTGTCACAAGTTCAAGGTCAATCCGTGTTTCATGGAAACCAATCAACGCAGCTTACGTGCATGGAATCCTCTTGGGATACGAGGTCAGATTCGCAAAGGATGACTGGTCAACACTGACGTGGATAAACAAGAGACTGGGCCCAGAAATACATCACATTTTGTTAGATGAATTAGCTCCCAACACATGGTATTGGGTAGTGATCTGTGCCAGGACATCTAAAGGTTGTGGAAAAGAATATTTTGACCTTGTGCAAACTTGGGAAGATGGTGAGTTTAGTTTTTGGCGGCAGTGAAAGCGTTGCCAGGATGTTGCACGTGTTTCAATTGCGACATTTGAAGAACAAATAAAATTCTTAATCTCTCCTACCTTGTCTTTGCCTCCTGTTTAAATCGATATTTTGATAGTAATAGCTTTTTTCCTTTTTCTTTTTTTTTTTTCTTTTTTGGGAGGGGGGTTACATTATATTAATTGCTTTAATGAAATAAAAAAAAAACAAACAACAACAGCAAAAAACAAAACCTATACAAAACAAAGAGAGACTCCTAATTACGCTTTTATTATGTTTTGAGTTACTGTTATGGAGTTTTTAATTTTTTTCCCGAAATATTTCTAAGGTTCTCGATGCCTTAATTTTTTTTTATCATTATTTTTATCTCTCCGTCTAGTTCCCAGCATGCCTCCTGTGGACTTCAAAGCCTACAACCTTACATCCGAAGCATTCATTAATGTCAGCTGGAGTCCAGTCCCTTCAAATCACATCAACGGCATATTACTAGGCTACTCCTTAAAGTATCAAAGAGTTCAAACATCCGAGAGGCAAGTCTCAGGCGTAGACGAGCACACACTGACTTTGAGGCCAACAGATCTTTCGGTTTCCCTACATGTCGAAGCGTACTCGATTTACAAAATTGGAGTAGCGGCTTTTACTCGGAAAGGCATGGGACCGTATACTGAATATGCTTACGTAGGTGAGTACCCAGATTAGGTTCCTGAGTAAGTAACCGCGTGAGAAAATGAGTGGGTGCCTGAGGAGAATCTGATAAAATACCTGAGTGAGTACTTGAGTGCATGAGTGAGTACCTGAGTGAGTACCTGAAGGAGGCCCTTAGCGATCACCCGAGTCAGAACTTGACCCTTTCATGTTAAAATGACCCTAAATACGCTTTAAAATCAAAGGACAAGTTATCTGACAGAGTATTTGCTCCTTTTCACAAGAATCCTGCCGTTGCCCAAAAGTTCTGTACACAAATTTCTGGTCAACGTCTCCATATCTGAGAGTGAACAAGGGCGACAACAGGATGGAAGGAATTTTCAGCAAAATTGTGACAGATATGATCTTTACAGCTTGTGGCCTTTGCCCTGGTCACGGTAGTTCTACTATAATCGAGATTACAACTAATGGAAAAGGAGACTCTTCTGGCAAGAAAAGTATCTCGGAAGTGCTTGATGACATCGATGATATTCCACAGATTAGCTTTCCGATCTATGGCAACAAATACATTACAAGATACCTGGGAGCTTATGCTTATATCAACCTTGTAGATTCCCCTGGAGTGGCATTCATTGCTGCAAAGAGTCTCCCCGGATCCGCGGCTAAGAACATGATAAACGCAGTTGTAGAATGCATTCCTATGATTATATTGTCAGCATGTATGGCTTATATTTCTGGATTCATCATTTGGGTCTTGGTAAGTAATTATCTATACCATTCAAGAATCTTTTAATATGAATGGAGAACCTTTAGTGATTTTCTGTATCTTCATTCACTAAATGCCTACATTTGCATGCTGTTTACCTTCCTTCTGAAAAAGAAAAAAAAACACAAAACACAAAACAAGCTTTCTAGAAATTCAACAATAATTAATAATAGCTTGTCCTGTATTAATCCCCTAAGCTCAAATAATATACCGTTTCCAAAACTATAAGTACTTCTTAGTATGAAATATTTCTCTTTCTCTCTCACATTTAATATACCTCTTCTTCAGGACTCTAGATTCAACCCAGACGAATTCCCGCCTGCTTTTATAGAAGGCGTTGGTGAAGGATTTTGGTGGTCGTTCATTTCAATGACAACTGTTGGGTAAGCTGATTATAGCCAATTTTTTTTTTTTTGAAACCTATTTCCAAATCTTGGCCGCTTAAACGAAGTCTTATGGGGCCAGATCTGGTCGTTATTATCATTCCTGTATTGATCCGGTATTTAAAGAAAAGTAATTTGATGTTGTAAATCATTTCACGATATCGCTTATTTAAGAAAAATTTGCATAATCAGGTATACAATTCTAATGTACTTATCTCAGTATCTAAGTATGTATTAATGCTTTTATAAATATCAGTTACATGTACTCCTTGCAGATATGGAGATCGCTGCCCCCGTTCTTTTCCCGCCCGTGTTTTTGGTATCATATGGACCCTAATTGGACTTGTTATTATCTCCATTCTGATTGGTGCGATTGCTTCGTCACTGACATATGTCAATGTGAATAAACCTGTCACTCTTTATGGGGCGAAGGTATGCCTAAACAAATAGCGATAATGCATGATTTAAAGTGCTACTTTATGCCTTGTTCTCTAGACAGAAATACATACAAATAGATTAGTGACAGATGTGCGCTCGCACTGTCAGGAAGGTTAACAGACGAGCACACAAACAGACAGACTGAGAAGTAGATAAGCAGTCACACAGACAGGTAGAGAGAGAGACGAACTGGGAGACGGATAGAAATGCAAAAGATCAGGTGGACAGATAGACTGACAAAAAGATAGGTTTATAAACACCAGGATGGGCCAGGGACAAGAACGATAGCAACATAAAGCATTCAAGTTGCCATGGAAGAGTCTGATTCACCAGCTTATATCTAAAAGGAAAATACTTAGAGGGATACATTTTTTTGCCAATTTAGATCGGAGCCATTCAGAACTCTGTGGAGTATCGCCTTGGAATTCTTAAGAATGCAAAAGTAAACGGAGGTAAGATCGATTTATAACAACTGATATGATAACTTTGGGCAACTGATAAATTTCTTATAAGGCCAAGTGGAATCCAATTCGGTCTGTAATCATACGAGTGATTAGCCAATCGTACGACCGCAAAGCGGGAGTCCGATTTGTAACTCACGATTATTATTACAGACACAACTGGACGACACAAAGTTCTCAGGCGGGGGGAGGGAGTCGTCCGAAATGATCTCTGACTTCTGACTATTCTCGACTGCCAGGTTCTTAGCACCAAGCATCTCAGATTAACTTGGCTTACTCCTTATTTTCATTCATACAGAAAAAGAATACCATAACGTTGATGAAATCCGAACAGCACTTAAAGATGGTGAAATTGATGGCGCTTTGTTAGACACTTACGTAGCTGCAGAACATAAAGAAACTCTTTTCGATGACAGAATATATGTTAAAGAGATCTTAGAGAGGCCAGTTGGGTACGGAGTGGTTCTTTCTGGAGCGGCTGTGGGTGTGGAGCAACAATGCCGGGATTATATCAATATGCACATAACTGAAATTTTTCACATCATCCAGAATATGACGAAGACTCTTGATGTAAGTAATTCCAAAACAGCTACGTTAATTTGGTTTCACCATTTCATGAAGTGGTAAACCAAACCAACCCTGACAATGACCACAGATTTTATGTCCTTGAATTTGAAAACAGCTGTGTAAATTTTAAAAAAATGGAGGAAAAAACGAAAAAACAAATACAATCTCCTTAAATAAATATTATTAACCTGGAAATATAGAAAAAGGAAAGAGAGGCTATGAGTATTAAAGAGATTTGATTTGTGATTTGTAGTAACAACGGTTCCAATTTTGTTAGCTTATTAATGATTCAAAACAATAGGATCTAGCTCCTCATATATTGATTACTTACGAAAAAAGGAAACGAATAATGCAAAAAAAAAAAAAGCAGGATATCAATCAATCGAGAAGAAATTCATCCAAGCTTAAGTCGTTTAAAAGTTAGGTTTAGTGAAAATCAGTTTTTTTTTTTGTTTTGTTTTTTTATTTAATTTTAGGATTAAACGTATCTCGGGAATGTATGATAAGGTTTTTGCATGTACATTTTTCAGGCACCAGCTGAAAGCGCCTTAATGGAACAAAGTACGGGATTGTTTGACAACACATCTGAAATGTTCCGTATTAGCTTGGTTTCTCTCCTTGCCGTCCTAGGAGTTGCCATCTTGGGCGGGCTCTCTTATCATTTCATGATATATGTTCCCCGAAGGAAAAGAGGTAAGCGGTTTTTTGTTGTTGCTGTTGTTGTTGTTGTTTTATTTATTAATTTTTTTGATGTTGTTGTTGTTGTTTTTTTTAATGCAGCCTTGATTTAAGGATTACATGAGAAGTTGGCAAGTTGGGGTTCGCGTAACGCTTATTTTCTCACAGCATTTTATTATTTCCATTTAGTAGACGAGGCAAGAATCACTGACCAACAACTCAGTTACCAGAAGGCTCTTAATGATGAAATGAAAGCTTTCGTGAATTCTTTCTACATGGACATGTTCAAAAAGATTTCCACTATCAAGAAGGAGCTACAGGAGGTTGTGAACCGAAAAAGGCGAGCGAAATATAAAATGCGAATTGGTAGATCTGCAGATAGTTCCAAAAGAGACACAGAGAGCAGTATTGTTGTTAGTAACCAAACACCTCGGAGTTGGACCAGTGAGAAACAGTATGAGAAGCAAAAGCACGTTGTCCAACTTGTCTCAAATAATGAAAATAACAAACTGGAGCACAGTTCACAACGGGTTTTACTAAAATCCTTTTCATTTCTCTCTGGAGATTCTTCAAAATGTCAGGAACCCTTTTGTTCTCAGACGCTACCTAACATGGTAATTTCTGAAGACGATATAGAACCTGGATATTCGTCATGTTAAGACTACAAGTAAAAAAACATTATAGCGCTGAAGTTAAATCTGCCATCTTTCCTTAGTGAGGTACTGAGGAAGATTTTAATTTTTTTCAATTACAAACCAAAAAACGATATTTGTGAAGGCTACATAATAGAAAGGAAATGTGTGTTAGTTAAAGGGAAGGTGTTATTTCGCCTTAAATGAGGACGTGATAATGAGTGTTGTATTAAATAAACCTGAAATTATTTTTTGGGATCAGCCGGCGTGTCTTTTATTGGAATTACAAATAATTTTGTAAAATAGATATACATATTTGCAATCAGTCTTGCACGTGGTACGAAATTGGCTTGCAAACTGAGAAAGCGTATTTTTCAGCTATAGCTAGCTTGGGATTAAGATCAGAAACACGTAGTTTCGTCATTTATTGCCTTGCATATTTTCAAATTTCACAAGGCTCGAGGAGCCACAGAAACAGCTTCAACTAACCTGATTTTTTTGTGCAGCACAGAAAATTATATTAAATAGAATGCCAAATTATCATAATTAAAAACAGAAATATGGAAGCCAGTAATATGTAGCTTTTCTTTATTTCAAAGCAAATGCTTAAGGAGCCACACTTATAAAGCTACAATTAATCTTCTAATCGTTGTCGTCTTACGAAAAAAGATCGCTCATAAATACAATGCCTAATTATTATGATTACAAATTGAAATAAGTCTTTGTTATTTCAAAGCAAATGCTTAAGGAGCTATTCATAGAGCTACAAAAAATGTTTGCTATTAATCGTTGTCGTCTTACGGTAAAAGATCACTAACAAATACAATGCCCAGTTATTGTGATTACAAATAGAAATAAGTCTCGTCTATTTCAAAGCAAATGCTTAAGGAGCTATTCATAGAACTACAATTAATCTTTACTTTTAATCGTTGTCGTCTTACGGCTAAGGATCACTCATAAATACAATGCCTAATCATTACAAATAGAAAGTCTCGCTTATTTCAGAGCAAACGCTCAAGGAGCTATTCATGGAGCTACAATAAATCTTTACTGTTGATCGTTCTCGTCTTACGGCAAAAGATCACTAATAAATACAATGCCTAATTATTATGATTAGAAATAGAAATAAGTCTCGTTTATTTCAAAGCAAATGCTCTTGGAGTTACTTAAACAGCTTCAATAAATCTATACTATTAATGCTTGTCGCATCACGGTGAAAGATCGAAATAACATAGTATGCCTAACTGTCAAAGACCACCGCTATAAACATCTCCTAAACCCTGTAAAATTACCATAGCAACATGAGCACCATCTCATCCATCAACTGATCTGAGCTTTGTCGTCATTATATTATTGAGTTCTTCGTGTAACCTAACACAAAGTTACTTCATTTCGTACAGTTATCAGAGTCACTCTCAAGGCTCAAGTTTTCTCCGGAAGAATTTAGGGCAGCAGTGTTTACAAAAGTGTTATGTTTGTTAAGCTCTTCAATACTCTTCGCTGATTTGAATACCAAAGGTCGCTGTGCCACAACGGAATCACATCCCTCAGACGCATGTGAGTAGATTGGATTAGTTTTAACATTGTTTAATAAAAGTGCACCGCCTTGCTTAGAAATGTTTCTTTCCTCTCTTATGTCTCTTAATACTTGTTTACACTTATCCATCTCTGAAGATATTCGAGTGGACATCTGTGAGTGAAAAATGCGTACAAAATCTCTCATTTCTGCAACTAGGGCTTTTTTCTGAGCAAGCTGGGATGAAGATGCTTTTAGCCTGTCAACTGAAAAAGAAAAAACAGATATGTTGAGATTATTTACTGACGATTATCAATAAGTCCAAAATTATTAGTTGGAGCTCACAATAATTTACGATAAAGAATAAAAAAAACGCACTGCCCGTAACTATTAAAGCCTGTCCCACCCCATCCTCAAAAACTCGCCAAAAGTGGGGGCGAATGTAATGTCTTCCTGTCAACACTATTGCTGCAAAGAAGCCATAGTCAGTAAAATAAAGAAATGCATATGTAACATTTAATTATTTGACCAATAAACTCCCAAGATCTGATTGTTAAGTAGCGATCTCTTTAAGAGCGGTCCAGGCAATAAACTATCTTTGGTAGGAAGTAAATAAAACTACATTAGTCTCTGGAAATACATTACAATAAAATTTTTAGAGCTCTAAATAATAACAACTTCCAAAGGCCCTTTTCTGACCTCTTACGACATCGAAAACTTCAAAAAGTTGAAAAGCCCGGTCCTCGTATCACATCGCATGCAGCAAAAAAATCTTTTGTATTCTAAGACTATGTGATATGTAAGGTGTATAAAAAGTATTTCAATTTTGATGTTCGTTTATTCAGAGGTTCGTCATAATTTATTTAAAAACACTCGTTAGACAGCTTTCTCAAATTGGTCAAAACGACTGTTTCTTTCTTGGTTGATATTGCTCAATTCCAGACCAGACCATTGATAACTCCGCTTTATTTCTTCTAACAAGAAGTTTGGCTGCAGAAAAATATAAAAACATCCTGCACTTATCAATTTTCCTCGCCGTGGTGACTTTAAAGTTTTACCGATTTCGCTAGCGTGACAGCCGATTATGCAGATGAGTTCATTGAGCAACCTCCGACCGTTTTATATAAGTAGCTCGATAAATCTTTGATTTTAACCATTTAAGTTGGAAATATAGTAGGAGAGAGCTTTAGACCACACGGATTAATACTTCAAAAATACTGCCAAACTTCAAAGCGCTATGATTGCCTGTAATTAATCTCGTACCAAGATCCTACGGTGTAACAGCTGATTGGCCATGAAATATCTGGGTACAAGAATGCTTAGAAATACATAGAATTTTCGATTTTACCTGTACTTATTCCTGAAAAATATTCACTCAAGATAAGAGATAAGACGTCTTACCTCTCTTTTGGCGTGGAACGAAAATCAGATAGTGGTAAGTTATCCCAGCAATGATTGCTAATCCAAGCATTCCAGACAAGGAAGCTAAGGCCATGCGGAACATAACGGAGGAACCGTCGAACAAGTCTGTACTTGATTCCACCTTTTCATCTGGAGGAGTAGGCTGCGAGAGACCACAAGAAATAAGCACAGAAAGGAAAACTCGACAGTAACAACAACAACCACGAAAGTATTTTTAATCAATTAAAAAATACAGTCAAAGAAAAAAATTATACGGGCCAGGTATAATATGTGACCAGCCATTATTGATCACCTGCAAGGAGCTTGAGGTTTTGGGGGGATCGCACGGTTTCAGGGGGGAAGGGAGGGGGTCGGTCGTCGCTAACAGAACAGAAAGGGGAGAGGGAGGAGAAGCTATTGACTGGCAATGTAGGGGATAATTAGAATACTACAGAGCCTTTGGGTAGGATCAGGCAAATGTTATTGTGACACATCCAAACAATACTATCCCCACTTCCCACTCTAACGAGAAATTATCGGACTGTTCCTTAGATTTAAAATATCTTAGGTTAAGCATTAATATAAGACCCTGGTGATGGAAGAAGTTTGCAAATATTTATTGGCCTGATGGGGGTAGGGTTGTGGTCCGGACCACGTACTTATCCCTGGTTTTATCACTGATAATGGGTCCACCTAGGAAATACAACTCCATTGTAAAGAGTCACTGTTGGTTGAATTAAGCCTTTACTTAACAGATAGGGAAGCCTTGATTGTGCTCTGTGCATTTGTAAAAGCACGCAGGAAGCGGCTACAGCACGAAGAAAGTGTAGGGAGGGTGAAAACCTTCAAAACTCGGACTGTCCATTTCACTTTCTCATTGAGGATTTTCGTCTCTGCTCACGTTGTAATAGCGCAAATTACGGCACCTAGCATGTTTGCAAACCTTTGTTGGGTCTTCTGTCGCTACCTGTCGGCTCACTTATTCCGAAATTTCACTTTCAGTTAACGAAAAAAAGGTTTGAGAGAAGTCCAGGAAAGGGTTCGACATAGTACAGCTTAGCAGATGGCGCGACAACTTTAGCTCAGCTCAATGCTCGATGCTCTCATACAGTATTCTCTTTCAGCTAGTGAAAGCGCGCGTTATTGAACTTTAATATAAAATATTAAAATAACAACTATGAATTTCACTTACATCAAGTGTCTTTGTCGAGATGGTTATCATGTGGAATATATTACTCATGTGCAGGTTTATGAAGTCCCGACATCTCTGCTCCACATTCACTGCTGCTCCTGAAAGAACAACTCCATAGCCAAGTGGCTGGTCCAAAATCTCCTTCACATAGATTCTGTCACTGAAAAGTTCGCTCTTGTGATCTGCAGCAACGTACGTGTCTATAAGGGCACCCTCAATTTCTCCATCCTCGAGCGCTGCACGAATTTCTTCAAGATTTTTATATTTCTTTTCTGTGGATAAAAACAATTATAAAAAATTTTTTTGCCTTGCCCATTTTAAAATTCTAATCTGAAGGACTATTAACAGGTTATTTCAACTCCTAAATAAGAGTCGAAAGGGATTACGGATTACTAAATTTTGTCCTACTCTGTTTCGTAATTGGTCATTTAATATAGCACACTCCATTCTCGCGGCCAATCACATGCAAAACTATAGCGACTCGTGACTAGGTTACTTCTGTTTATTTCGGCATCTCTCTCGTGCATGTTAGCTTTTAAGCGCGCGTGCAACTCGCGTTCTCGCAAGCAGGCTTCGGAGCCCCCATTTTTTTCAACCCACCAGATATACTCACAAAATATCCTAATGACCAGTAGGGATTAGGGATTCATGTTTTACCTTCATTTACTCTTGCATTCTTTAGGGTGCCAATTCGATGTTCCGTGGAGTTTTGAATTGCTCCAATCTAAGTTAAATTCAAAGAATTACTATCAGAACTGATATTTACTGACCGTTTTAAAAGGGCATGCTCGATTACGCTAAGTCTGTAAAACAGTCTTTTCCAGTAACAATGAAGAGTTATTATTTCCGTAACAATGCTGTAACTATGTCTGTAACTATTTCCGTGGCAAGACCATCAGTAATGCGATCGCTACATCTTCTCATGCAGTTCATGTACCAGTTTCCAGTTCCCATTAGATTCTGATATACGGCATACGTAATTTACAGTCCCTGAAGGAAATGGAATCCACTCCTTTGTTTTTTAGATAAAACTAGAGACAAGCAGCGTGAGATTTCAATTAGTTAGTAAAGTAAGATGAAGTAATGCCATGTAGCCTGCTGTGCCGCGTGTATAAGAAAACTGATTATGTATTTACAATCGAAACGCACCTTTGCACCGTACAATTTGATTGGGTATGGAACGTTGACAATCGTCAGCGCCGACGCAATCGCACTAATAAGAATTGAGATAATAACGATTCCAGTGAGGGTCCATGCGATACCAAAAATACGGGCAGGAACAGAAGAGGGGAAACGGTCTCCATAACTGAAAACAAAAACAGACAGACAGTCAAGTGAACATACAGAGAGGAGAGGAGGGGCTTGGGTTCACGATAACGAAAAATGGCTGCTAAGAAGTAAACACCGATAAGAGATTCGGCAGAAATAACAAATGTTAAGGGTTTGCTTACCCAACGGTAGTCATGGAGACGAACGACCACCAGAATCCTTCGCCGATACCTTTGCTAAAACAGACTGGAAACTGATCTGGGTTGTTCTTCATATCCTGAATAATGAGATAGGGAACGATGACGAGAGAAACATTCCCAATGATTTAACTTCAATTAAGAAAACAAAACAAAACGAACAAAACTTTGAAGTCTACTTAGGTTATAAGGTACACAGCACTGTTGAGGTGCAATCCACGAAAGCGATATACTTCCTTGTGGGCGGTTCATAGACTCAGTTAACCCTTGAACTCCTAAAGGTGATTGACATGCAATTTCTCCCTGTAATATCCATACTTTTTCCAGAAAAGGTCATGAGAATATTTACATCATTATTACCATTATAGCATTATCTTTTGAAGTGCGTGAAGTTGAGTCCAAAACTCTACTCCTAAAAAGCTTTCGTTTTTAAATGAATAACAGCGAAATACTATATACTCACCAAAAGCCATATAATGAACCCGGAAAGAAAGGCCATACATGCAGACAGTAGTACCAGTGGAAAGCACGAAAACACAGCGCTTACAATGTTTCTTGCAGCTGCTCCTGGAGTCCTCTTGGCGGCGACAAAAGCCAACCCAGGGGACTCCACAAGGTTGACATATAGGGTGAACGCCCCCAAATCTTGTTACGTATCTGTTGCCGTAGATTGGGAAACTTATTTGTGGAACTTCATCGATGTCACCAAGAACGTCTACAAGGCTTTCCTTGCCGGATCGCTGTCCATTTCCGTTTGAAGTCAAGTTGATTTCGGTGAAACCGTATGCAGGACACTCTCCACAAGCTGTATAGATCATATCTGTGACAATGTGACTAAAAATGCCATCCAGAGTGTTTCCTTTTTAGATTCACTTTTAGATACGGCGGAGTTGACCAATAGTTCGTGTAAAGAGTCTTTGGACAGCGACAGGTTTCTGTAAAGTAAACGAAAAATATGGATGAGAGATATTCATCAAATTGTTATGAACCGATAATTATTCATCGCCAGGGAAGTGGGGTCCGTAAGACTTTACTTCTATCATAATAACATTGACCTGATTCCCCATAAGGTTCAGTAGCATTTATTAGCAGTCAATGTTCTATAGTCCACTCTAACCATTCCCCCAGAAAATCATGTGATCCTCCAAAATCTCCCCCCACCCCACCCTGTCTTCAAAAATGATGAATTTCTCAATATTGACATGACATGTTAAGGAGGGGATAAGTCCAAACATCTGTAATTCAGAGAGGATAGTTATTCAAGCATTCGCTCAGCTTTGAAACTCTTTATGGTGGACACTTTGTACATTGTCATTGAACTCAGTGATTACAGCGTTAAGCTATTTCGAATTATTTATACCTATACCTACCACCATAGATATATTCACTATAAGGCCCCAGGCCCTTTTGAGTAAAAGCCGCCACTTCGATTATATAAACCGAGTAGGTTTGAACATTGAGTACTATCCAGAGATCAGTTGATTTTGCTATGGCCGTCTCCTCCAAGTGAACTACATTTTTCTCGGCTGTTTTCACTCTTCGGTACTTTATGGAATATCCCATCAACAGACCATTCACGTGACCAAACGGCACTTCATTCCAGGTGACGTTGATGGATTCTGCAGCCTTTAATCTCTCAGCTGTCACGTTTTGTGGAGGCTTACTGGGTACTAGAGTAAAGGCAAAAGCAAAACATGTTAGTACAATAATTGAAAATTTCTACCCATAGAAAAACGATGATTAGCAAGCGATTAAATAAGTGAAAAGCCCCTTGGGGAGTTTTCTCTCACGAGAGTGCATGGAAAGATACATACATAGATGAGTGATTTTCTTAGTAATGTAAATGATCATCGCACACCGACTGTATGTCGGCCATAAGATAAATACAGTTTTTAGTGGGCCCCGTGACCTTCTTTTCTTTAAGTAACCTAAATAAACCCCAATTTGGTCGAAAGGTTTCCACCAGCTACCGAACGTTTTAAAGAGAGATTGAAAGTCTCAAGAGATTGAGAGTAGATTCGTAGCTAGATCATTTTCTAACAAAAATCTTCAACTCACCATCACCAAATGTGGTAGCATTGCGAGAGACATTTTTCCACATCCTTGAGATGTTCTCGCGCAGATCACAACTTTGTACGGTGTGAAATATTCCAGGTCACTTAAAACTGTTTCATGTGCGTTGGCATCAACTGTCTTGTTGTCCCATGCTGATGAGTCGTCATCCTTTGCGTAACTAACTTCGTACCCCCATAAGTATCCCGTGTACGAAAGCTTGGCTGATCGGCCCCCAGGACACATGAATTGTACTTGAACTTGTTGATTTGACAACAATGTCAGAGGGTGGCTCACTTGGCACTGGGACACAATAGATACAGGATAACGTAAAGAAGCCAGAACAAACTGGATACCATTAAGAGTAGTAAAGCAGACATTTCGATCGTTAGCCCTTCGTCAGAGCAATTTGAGGAACGGCTAACGCTCGAAATGTCAATTTTTAAACCCTTTGCAGTGGCCATTTTACAATATCAACCCAAGTCATGGTGTGCTCGAGTTTTCTTGTCCGCAACACCCTTAAATGGTTGGTCTATCATAGTGTACAAACCCAAAAAACAAAAACAAAAGGAATAGCTACCCTCAACAAACTATAGCCACATACGCAGATCTCTTAGTCTCTATAAGATATCAAATCCATTCATTAAAAAAATATATCTTAAAGAAATGTTAAAGTGCTTCATAGTCTTATCTTTCGGAACTTACCATCTTCTTGAGTTCTTACAGTGACAGCATCACTTGGCACCCCATTACCATTACTTGAAAAGGCAAACACACGGATGGTATAATTTGTGAATTTTTTTCAAATCCTCCACCATCGCTTCAGATGTACTGAGTGGAACTGACTTCATGGTGTTAGTCTTGAACTTTTTGTTAGCTTCTTTAGACAATCATATTACCCAGAGTTGGGAAGGAATGATTTTGCCTCCACTTTATGACAATACTCGTCGATTTGGAGCTTTTGGCTTCCAAATCCACAGGAGCTTGTTGGGGTACTGGGAGAGAAAATAAAAACAAGAATTATATGATCAGGTGAAATAAACATATATAGAGGACAGACGCATACACGACGTCCCCATTAACAATTTTTAGCTTCCTTATTATATTATACACGTAGATTCCATTTTGCCATGGTTCAGTAACAGATCGCAGACGTCATCACTGAACAGGTAGCTTAAGCCCTAATAAATGCGCGCTAAATCTAAGCACGCGTCGTTCATTATCACAGACACAAATAATTGTTAATCACTCTGGCTGATAAACTTTGCTATGCATACCGTTACTGGTTTCAATCTTGTCTAACGCAACTGGAATGTCCCCCAGTAATCCTCCTGCTATTTCCTCCAGGAAAGAGACGATCTGTAGCGAGTCTATGCTCTCGTAGGTGACGTTAAAACTACAAATTACACTTCCTTTCCTATAACAAATGATGGATTCGATTAAAGATATGCAAAGTCAAACCTTTTTAAATATGGATTCTGACGATCCTAAACAATGTGTATGTAAATTAATCGTGTGATGAATTGCTCTGCTGTGAGAGGAGACAATAGACTATCAATCTAAAAGAAAGGATTTACTTGAACTTTAGCTTGTCAACTTTAACATTTTCATCCCTTTTGTGGTAAAAGTCCTTAACCTAAAGGAGAAAATAGTATAGACAGTTTTGGCGGGCCATATATAATCAAAAGCTAACAAAATTAAATTCAACTTATTTGAAAAATCAAAACATTGCGAAAAGAAATAATAAAAATGATATATTTACAGCTTTTTTGATTCTATCCGCAAGTTCCGCGTGTTTTGTACTTTCTACCTCCGCAAGAGAATATTCCCATGTTTCACCTCTTAACTTAACCTGGTATTTTACATTTTCGGCTGAAAAGAGAAGAGAAGTGAGCAGAAGATGTTTTTTTTTGTTCTCCACATTTAATGAATATTTGATGCTGTGGGGCTGCCTGTTCAAACTAGATTGGTTGACAGAAACACTCACCACCGAAACCAATACAGCTGAACCTTACATGCCACTAAAACAGATACAAAATTGCCCTCTCGAGGGAAACTTTGGCTGAAAAAGGATTCTAATCTAGGATGACAAGTGACCTTTATTCACTTTCTCGTCAACTCGTTTGACCTTTGAGCTTCTGGGAGCAACACTTAACATGCTAAGAAAAAGAAAAGATTGAGAAATCTTCTACCTGGACACTTTTCTTGGTTACAGCGCTCAGACCCAAAGGTTAACCCTTCGCATCTTTTTCCACCAAAAGCTGGCCTAGGGTTATCACATGCACGCCTCCTTGTTCGTGTTCCGTTATTACACGGCTTGTTACAGTTCGGCCATGGTGTCCATTGACTCCAATTCCCATGAACTACATAAGTACAAAGTATGATGTTAAAGGCAAATTGACGATATCTCTCCTTCCATCCTCGCATCTTCTAATTCATAAGAGTTTCACCAATTGTGGAAGTGTAGTTGACTAAATGACTTAAAAGCCCTTAACCTCTTAACCACCAAGAGTGACTAGCTTGTAATTTCTAATTAGAGTCTTACCACTGGATCACACATGTTTATTACTGTAAGAAATGCGTAGAGAACATTGTGGAGGATTTGCATACTGATGTTAGGGTTTACATTGATCACCCATGAAAGGTGCTACATGTATATTACAATTGGTTCCGCTCGGCCTTTCCGATCACGTCTTTTTTAATCGTAGCGGTGAAAATTAAATTGTTTGAACCCGAGACAGTGAATTAAGCCACGAATAACGTGTTTTTATTTCCATCGATGTTCGAGCATTTTATTGACACAGTTAAAGCCTACAGTAGGGCCATTTTAAAATACAGGTGATCCTTGCAACCTGATGGGTTCTCGTCAAATCGACTTTGTTTTAAATCACATCTTTTTCACCTAAAGAAAGCTTTACTAAATCTCAACAATCAATCAGATTTCAAGGTTTGTGTAAAGTACCAAATCAAAAAGCCGAAACATCTACGACAATTTGGAAATTTTTTATAAACCAGGTCAGTACTGGATCGATTATTAGTTGTACGAACCAAAAGTTTTTTTTAATGGTTTTGATAATTTAATAAACGGAATTCGTGTCCTAGAACCTTTTTCTGTAATCATACTCGTGATTAACAAAAGCGGACTCCTGTTTCGTGGTCGTCCGATTTTGTTAATCTTGACTTTCAAGGCCAATCGGGATGCCAAATGATAATTAACACCGCAGTGGTACAAGTACATCTTAGACAAACTTACCAATCTCGCTCTCACATCTTTTACCAATAAATCCAAAGGTGCAATTGCAAATGAAATCCTTCAGACCATCTTCCCTAAAGCAATTTCCACCGTTTCGACATGGGTTAGGAAAACAAGGATCGTCTGTGAAGACGTAAAAACACAGCGTTAGTGAAGAAGAAATGGCAGGACCAACTGGTTAAATTTCGCGTGGAGCGGTTTTGAAGTTCTTGCCTTAACACAGGTTGGATTCAAAATGAAGAGAACCTCACTGGCAAATGAAATTTTGAGACAGCTTTTTTTCTAAAAGAAAATATCGAGATCCACGTCATGGAATTTTGACGGATGGCTAAAGTCTAGCTCATATTACGTCATACGGTTCCATTACTATTCACGAAACTATTATCAAGTCCAAGTGAGATCATCAGGATGAGTGTGGCAATCGTGACTCGTCATACGATTCAACATGGCAACACACACAGAATTCCAGTTTGAAAGCAGTTCATATCTGTTTCGATTTTTCTCGCACTAAGTTCTTCGTTTACTAAAATATATTTTAAGATAATTCAACAACGAGGTGTTCCATTAGTTGAGGTATCCTTTAAGATATAATATGTTTTTAGAATATGCATCACCTTTCATAAAGCCACAGTTAAACCCAATATACTCCGATGTGCATTTGCATGTGTATCCCAGGATATTACTCTCCTGCGTACAGTTTCCGCCATTTTGCAAGGTTCAGAGTTATTTGAACACGGATTGCCTGTTGAAATATGTCACTACTTAATTGCGGACCATATACTTCGACAACTCTTTATTTAAAGGGATAAATCGCAAATTATCAAGTTGTAATGCCCTCTATTTTTTATTTAAACATGGTGTAAGAAAAGCAATTTGCAACATTATTTACGATTTTTTCGAAAAGGAACCTTATAGATAAAAGGTTTGGTGAGTAAATCTAGTGAAGGATTAATTGACAGATCGATTGATTGATTTATTAATTTGTTGTAAGTCCATTAATGTCTGAGCAACCAATCTGGCCATACCAATGACCGACCGACATATTGATAGCATGACATGTTGTTTGATTGACTCTCTGAATGACTGACTGATTGACTGACCGACCGACCGACCGACCGACCGACCGACCGACCGACCGACCGACCGACCGACCGACCGACCGACCAACCGAAAGACTGGAGGGGCGAATGAGATAGTGATGGAACGAGCGGGTAAGTGGGTGAGTAAGTAACTGACTTACAGAAAACAATCTGACTGACCAATAGTTTAATAAAATAAATTCCATAAAACGGAACCAACTGACTGATCGATTGAGCTCTTGCTCTGAATAGAATCATACAAACTAGAACAGTGGACATAATTTAATCAATTAAAAAACCTTTGTCACCTGCTTGAAAGCCACAATTAAATCCAATGTACCCTAAAGGGCAGCTACATTCAAAACCCAGTGAGTTATTATTCAGTGTACAGGTTCCATTATTCAAGCAAGGGGTTGGCGAAACACGCATCAACTGTTGAAAAAAAAGCATAACTTTTGAATGCTATGATGTAAAGATACAAAAGTATCTTATCACATTATTTATTTTTTATGAGGCTTAACAAACATGACAGCTCGATGTAATCGCCCTGGTGTTATGAACAACTTAGTTAAACACAATACCAAAAAATTTTTATGTGGTGGAAATCTAGGGCTTACGGCCACTGTAAACGTAATATTGTCAGGCCCTCTACACCTGAAAAGAGTCCAACCGTAAAGAAAACACGGTGGGAAAGATTGCAAAAAGGTGACAGATAGCGACAGATTGAAAAGTTTACGCATGCTTAGATATAGATCTTGGTGAAGTTTTATTCCATTACGCAGTGTTTGCGATAAAGAAAATAGGAATCTTTCGAATAATGTAATCGCGTTTCGTTCTGTGGAATTTCCTAAATTTTTCTGGACCATTAAACATATTTGTGCCCTTTCTAGTGCCTGTTAATTAAAAAAAAATTAAAGGACCAAATTTGAGACAGAGGAAGAAACCACAAAACTACAAATAGCGAATACACTGCCTTTCTAACCCTATTTTTCGGCGTTTGAATAATCCGTAGGACATATTTC